ATCGTGGTTTGAAAAATCAATTATTTATATTCAAGATTCCCTGCAAACTTTGAAGTTTTCCTTTCAAATGCTAAACGACTCTTGAAAATGGCGATGTGTTGAGTTGATAGCACCATTGCCATAGCTTAGTTATCCTAATTTCACCATCTCATGAAAAAGAAAGCTTATGTGCTCACTGGATAAGATTTAATCACATAACTACCTTCGAAATCAAATCACAAAGTTTTCTTTGAGTTGAACAAGCATCCGGAAAATTCTATTTGCATCTTTTGGCTCATCTTACACCTCCTAAATATTATAATACGTATGTGATGTGATCTTCATTTTTTAAAATTTTTTTAAAAAAAACCTGAAATTAATTTCATAACCAAAAAAAAAAAAAAAAACTTGATTAAGTATAGGTGACATGGCCTACAAGACCAAGCAAACCTTTAAGTTCAATTTTCTTAAAGCTTAGCCAAAACTTTTGAAAAAAAAAAGCACATGTGCTAGAAAATGTGAAAACGGGTGTGACGAGGAAAACAATATTGCAAATAAAATCATTTTTTTTCTTCGTAAATAGGGAGGGGAGGGGGGGCTTTGAACTTAAAACATCATTCAATATTGAAAAAAGAAATATCACTAGACCGAAAATTAGTTGGTATATAAAATTATCAAAATATCACTCCTCAATTACGGACTAATCTCGAAGACTTTTGCTCACAATAGGGGGTAAAAACATATGAAATGAAAGTAGTGTAACACACCATTAACTATATATATGATAGTTTTTCAAAAAATAAATAGAAGTAGGTGTATGTATTCTAAAGGCTATAAGACTTTGTACCATGCAACTTTTGGGAATGTCTCATGGAATGACGGCCAAAGGCACACGAGACGTACGGCGTTGCCAATTAACATGATGTGCAATAATGTCGGGCCTATCTCCACTTTTATCACATAGTACTTTTTGTAAGTGATGCTAAAGGGTTCTCGTGGGATTTTCAGTCGATAATGCAAGTGAGTCTCATAATTCATCAATTTGCGACAACCAACCATCCACATGGCACATGAGAACAAAACATTTATGTTTGGTATGAACGCTTTATGATCACCACCATAACTTCTGAAGTGAGAAAAGAAGTTCAAAAGCCTCAAATGACTGCAAAACTCAGCAAGTGGGCTTAGCTATATGCATGCATACACATGAAAGCAGCAGAAAAAGGAATAGAATGAGATCTCAAAACTCAAAAAGCAAGAGAGAAAGAGAATCAAAAGGAGCGACTCTTCTGGTCTTTTTCCCATTGATTTCTATATACATATATGCGGATTCAACAAAGCAAATGTTAATGTCTTAGTTCCCATTGCAACATTCTCCTCAGTAGCAGTTGTTTAGGTAATGCAAATTCAAACAATATGGATAAGACTTGTTTCAAATTTTTGACTCTTTAAGTCTCCTTTTTAGTTGTGGGTTTGTCGATCTTGCCTTTTGTTAATTTAATGTAATAAATTTGGTTTCAGTTTATCGATGTATTGGATCATTCTTTTCTTTCAGTCTCCTACTCTGTCCCATCTAATATTTGACATTTTTTTTGTGACAAAAGTTGGTGCAATGTGACCTTTTAAAATAGGTTTTCGTACACCTAATACCACTATATGGGCAATGGGAAATGATGTAGATTGATCTAAACCCACTGAAATGTACAGTGATAAAGATTCTTTCTATGATTATAAGATGGTGCCATACAAATATAAAATTTAATAATTTCTTGACCAATAAAATATTGATGATGAGCTATAAATAGCTATAGCTCATATCTATTTATAGATCTTAGCATGCACTCAAACAGTATAATGTTGGTAGGGGGCATCCATTCCCACTCCCCACATTAGCCGCTTGGCATTCGTATACGCGTGTACCAATTGATTTTTTTTAATTTAATTTTAGAATTTTGAAAAAAAATAAGAGGTAGTTGTGTTCTATAAAAATAGGACCCATTATCTTTTTTAATTTTATAAAAAAAATTAAAATGAAAAACAATCTGGTATGAGACAATCCTTGAGATATAAGTCACATTCACCTGGAAGGTTAGTCAGTGATTGATTTATGAAAATAACCTATAATGCTCAATTTTTTTTGGAGGTACAACAGTTTTAATTGACCATATTCTCATCTCACCAATTGAATTTCCATAATCACATGCTAACATTAACTTTAAAATATTGGTGAACATTTTTAAGTTTCATATAATAATTTCTCTCATCATATATATTCACCATATAGTGTAATTGTGCATGTGTAATTAATTCAAGACTTTTTCTGGTGGTGCAAACTTTTTTTTATAGAATAATCGATAGTAATTATTAATGAAAAACAAAAGTACAAAGCAAATTATGGTGCCGAATATGGGTAAATATTATATAGTGACCAAACACAACAAATTGAATTGATCTGGAGAGAATCACGCACAATAACACCGATTTAATCAAATATCATACGAAGTAATTAGAAACTTAGAGTAATGCTAATAACAAATATGTTGTATAATTATGAATCGCCAACAAGGAATACATGTTTAACTAGTCAACTTATGATCAACCTCTCTAAAGCCATCGTCTTTCCTACACACTATAGCATGTTAGGTTGGATAAAGTTCACCACGTACAAAAATGACTACAAACCAGTACACAAGAATTCTTGTCATGACGGTGAAAAATATAATTTAAAGGATTATATCATTGACTTGTGGAACTCATTTTTTTCTTTATTTATTTATATATATAGGAATAGGTTTGCTTAATTTTATAGCCTCTGTAGAGGTACAATTGGGTCAAAAAAACAGACTTTGTTCCCGTTCAAGCATAGAAAATTATGGCATGTTGGGTGAGACATAGATATTTTGTCTCTTGAGGAAAAAAGAAGAAGGGGAAGAAGAAAAAAGGACAGAAAGAGAGCAACAATCGGTTGCCGACAGGTGACAATCTTTTGTTGGCTTTGCTTCTTTGCTTAGTTGAGAATCTGAGATCATCATCAACTCACGCACGTGGGGTGCACATGATTTGAATTATGCCTCAAAAACGCGTTTAATTAGGGGGGGATCAAAGCTATGATTACCAGTTCACTAATTACTATCAATGGAGGAGTAACAAATGGACACGTGGCAACGACCCACATCAACAGGGGCCCAATGTTCTGTTGAGGAAATTCTTCTGCATCATTGTCGAGGAAAAAGATTGTGACTTTTAACGGGGACGGGGGGGACAGTAATAACTAATATTAACAACATCAAGTGACTTATTGGCTAAGTGTCACAGTTTGGGACAGTAAAAGTAATGTCTAATTGATCCACCACGATTAATCATTGGTTATAGTTGGAAGGATTTCTATGACATGTTATTTTATGATGCAGTTGAATTCATGTGTAAATGTGAGTGATGTATAGTTTAGTTGGTTAAGTTCTTTTACCTTTATTTATGCGGGTAGAGGTTCGAAACTCCCCCTTTTCTAATCGCTTGCACTTAAGACAGATAAATAATTCATGCGTAAATATGTGATTTATATTATAGTCAACGTAACGTCACATCAATAATTAGTAAGTCACTATTACTGAGTGTGATAAACGTAATGTGTTTCAACCTTCCTTTAACTTATAAATGCCTCTTTAAGACATTTTATCAAACAATATCATAAAGAAAAATACAAGAATACCCCGGGGTGTGACGAATAGGGTTCATCAAATTAAGCATAAGTAGGTGTGCCTTAGCCTTCTTTAGGTTATGAATATGCCTCTTTTGAGACATTTTATTAAACAGTGTGCCCTTTTCCATAAAAGAAAGCTCAGGAGTCAACGAAGCTTATGAAATTGAAAGTCTACCCTCATCCTTTTTAAAAAAAATAAAAAAAATATTTATAAATTTAGAAAAAATAAATAAAGTAGTGCATACCTCTTTGAAACATTTCATCGAACACCATCCCACTTTTCCATAAAAGAGAAAAGCAAGAATATTGGGGTCAAGTTGCATATTCACTCAAAAGATTTCCTTTATTAGCAAGAAAACTCGATCAGTGTGAAATAAGTTAAGGAGGGGCTGCTGCTGCAGTATCAAACAGAAAAGAAACATGGTAAAGGAAAAAAAAAGGTCTTGTCACCATGGAATTGTATTTTGTTTACTTCCTTGAAAGCATGCACTAAAAGATTGTGGAATCAGTCAAAACATCTGTAGCCAGCCCAAAGCCAAAAGGTATACATCTTTGACATGGTGATCAAGATTTGCGCATACATGTACTTTCAAGAGCCAAGCATATATGGTTAGATAAATCTAAAAAATGCATCGTCAGATTTAATACATCAAGTTTCATTTTTCAATTGAGAGCCAGAGGTGCAAAGCCATAATAGGTCCACATTGCCCAATTAAGGCAGATAAAAACAGACCCTGATGCTGAAATGGTGTCTTTATTCTAAACGATAATAGGTTTGTTAGATTTTATAGCAACGGATCATCGGGTTCCTACTACCAATAGTGATGATATTGTCTCTAAATTAACCGCCTTTAAAGTCCAGCAAGTGAAACAAAAGGCTTCAGTATAGTTTCCAATATGGGACTTTAGATTCTTCAACACACACCCCATGCAATTTAATTTCCAATTTCTCATCTCCACGTGTAATTGCATCACACAACTCATAATCGCAGATAAATATAATTAATTGTTACCATATAAAAATTAAAGTTCAAGTTAATTAATAAAATCTGATTGTATTAGTTGATAAACATGGTGCTTATCCCAAGTTGCAAGAGAGAGAGGGTTTTCTTTTGGTGGGCTTAAAGGTCGTTATAGAGAAAGATGGTCAAAAGCTAGTTGGACAAGGAATTAATTCATGCATCAAACATCAATTTATTAATTAATTAAAGTAGGTGACCAAAAGTTGGTTAAAGCTAGATTCAGTAAGATCAGCACACAAATGGACTGAGAACAGACATATATCTGTTTTCGTCTTCAATATGGAAAATATTACATGAACTAAAAAGAAAAAGACCCACCAAGCTAGCTACTTTTGCCCTGCAGCAGGCTTAAACAAAGTCATATTACATCAATCTCAACTTTCATCTTCCCTCCCTTTTGTTCAAACATTGAAGATCTAGTACTACTTCATTCCTACTAGAGAGCTACCCAAAATTTATTAATTAATATGGTGTCCTTCAACCTCTCCTTAGGAGAATTTGATTGGATTCCTGGAACAAGGTTTTTTTTTTTTTTTTTCAATTCATTGGGTTACAATAATTAATTAATAATTGATGCTAGTGTCAGTCGCACATGCGTGATGCATTCTGAGTTATGCATGAGTGTGAGACCTACTGTCGAGCCCACACTGATCAAGATATGTCACGTACTCATGCTCGACTGAGTCTAGCATTCCTCCTCTTAATTATTTGTTTCTCTTCATGTCCAAAGTGGTTCCCACAATGAGCCTAGAGTGGTGGTGTCATCAAGGAAGCTTAAGTTGCTCTGGTTGCTGCCATGAGAACTGGTGATGAAGTTGTGATCAAGTGATTGCTGAGGAGAGCCCTGCTCATTAGATTGTGTCATCTCCATGCAAATTAGTGCCACAAGGTTGGCTTGCTGGCATTGCATGTTGACAAGCTCAGCTTGTGCCTTGGCTAATTGTGCTTGCAGCTCATTCACTTGTTTCTGGAGGTGGCAGATTGCCCCTGCACACCCATAAACTGGGTCTCTAATTCTTGCACTGGCCTCATAAACCATGCTGCTCACTGCATCAGCTCTTTGAGATTCTGGAAGTTCCTGAAAATTTGAGATGTTTCTTTCATTTAGTTACAAATAAACCTTCAATATTTAATTGATTGCGAACTGAGAAAATAGATAGAAAAAGAAAAAAGAAAAAGAAAAAAAGAGGTACTTTTGAGAGTTTTTCTCCCTTGTTCTGTTGTTATCAGAATAATTTAGTCAGAGTAGTTGGTTTCCTTGATAAAAAATAATATCAGGGCTAAGGGCTGAAAGGGAATTTCCTACCACTTTGGTATGCCTCCATTTGTGTCTAGTGGTGTATACTTCCTAGAATTTTCAAATATGAATGCAACTAACACAATATTCCATGGAAAATATGACACTTAATATTTTACATGGGAGAAAGATCTTAAGTTCAGTTTCATCGTGTCTTCTGGTCAGACTTGTGTTGTCAAAACGAGAGAACGAGAGAACGAGAGAACGATAATTTTATTAGACTTTGAATTTAAACTACATATTTAGTAAAATTCAGTTTCATCGATTACCAAAATTCACAGCGTGACAGAAGAACATAACTGTGTATCTAATATTCCAGAACACAAAGTCATAGACCTACTTTGACAAGTAGTGCTACATGTTTGGTACATGAAGAAAAGTACCTGCAAGAACTTGATGATATTACTAGCCCCAAAGACACGATGAGCAATAGTGAACTTGGCTGGCTCAGTGGGAGGAAAGTAAGGTGCCAAGACACATTTGTCTGCACATCTTCTCCTCAAGATCTTGCATGCAGCACAAGGACTTATAACCACAGGTGGGTTTGGAGTTGGAGTAGGAGGCAGAGGAGGAGGAGGAGAGGATGGTGAAGAAGAAGGAGACTGAGACAGAGGGGTTGAGGAGGTGGTTGTGTAGTTTGTGTTCATTGTCTCATTACTGCACTCCATTGCACCTAAATCTTTAAGCTTTGGGCTTTAAGCTATGCTTTTGTGTAGAGAGAGAGAGAGAGAGAGAGAGAGAGAGAGAGAGAGAGAGAGAGAGAGAGAGAGAGAGAGAGAGAGAGAGAGAGAGAGAGAGAGAGAGAGAGAGAGAGAGAGAGAGAGAGAGAGAGAGAGAGAGAGAGAGAGAGAGAGAGAGAGAGAGAGAGAGAGAGAGAGAGAGAGAGAGAGAGAGAGAGAGAGAGAGAGAGAGAGAGAGAGAGAGAGAGAGAGAGAGAGAGAGAGAGAGAGAGAGAGAGAGAGAGAGAGAGAGAGAGAGAGAGAGAGAGAGAGAGAGAGAGAGAGAGAGAGAGAGAGAGAGAGAGAGAGAGAGAGAGAGAGAGAGAGAGAGAGAGAGAGAGAGAGAGAGAGAGAGAGAGAGAGAGAGAGAGAGAGAGAGAGAGAGAGAGAGAGAGAGAGAGAGAGAGAGAGAGAGAGAGAGAGAGAGAGAGAGAGAGAGAGAGAGAGAGAGAGAGAGAGAGATGTAGAGAGAGAGAGAGAGAGAGAGAGAGAGAGAGAGAGAGAGAGAGAGAGGGGTGAGGTGGGGTTTGTTTGCAGCACAAAGTGAGAGTATAAATAGGGAAGGAAGCTTTGAGGGAAGGTGTCATTGTGACGTCATCTGTTGAATATTTTTATTAGGCTGCTGATTCTGCCATATATAGAGACAGATTTATATTTAATTTCTCTTAAGCCGTTAGGTTTATTGATAGAATTATATATAATTCCACTTTTGATTTTTTGCAGGAAAAACTTATCTTCAAGTTTGAAAATTCATCATCCTCTCTCTGAAAAAACCCAGTTTGCAGACACAAGTTTTAGAGTCTAAAATCAAAATAGCCGTATACAAACAATTCGATAGTCTCCAAAAGTCCTTCTCAATTAATCTTTTTAACCACCAAAGCACTTCAAATAGATCTCTACCTTTTTCACATTTACTCAGTAATTTCATTTGGTGGTAACAAGCAAGCACCAGAAGCAATCTTTATTGCTGGAATTGTTAAAGTAAAGAGAATCAAATTCACTTGCTCTTTAATCATATATCAAATTGGGTGGTTGGGTTTAGTCAAATGGTTATAGGATAAATTAAGAATTAACTCATGATGAAAAACCTTGTCAACAAAGATAGGAAAAATGCAAGACAATTTCTATTTCTAACCCTTGTCCAGGGCAAGGAGTGCCCTACTGACGGCCGTTGTTTTCACATGCGACTTTCCTTCCCAACAAGTAGTGTTTCTAGAAATTTTTATTTCTTAGATTTTTAATTTCTCTCTCTCTCTCTATCTTTCTATCCGCAACAAGTCAGATATGAGCTTTGAATTCAAACGTCGTAAATTCAAATCCTTATGAACACAAAAACATTCAAAGTGACTTGAAATGCATGGTTTGTGAATGATTGTACATATCGAAGTCTGCTTTAAGATCTTCATTCTGACGAAAAATTTTCTCATTAGCCAAAATAGTCTCAAAGACATTCTTGAAAATTTGTTTTATCTCTTTAAATTCTAGGCTATAACGTTGCCTAACTTTCAATTGGGGAAATTTGGCGCCTCATACTCTCTCTCCCTCCCTCCCATTTTCTAGGACTTGAGCCATACATAGAGCTATTATTTCAAACAAAACAAAAAAAATACACAACAAAGTCGTATTTATTTTAAGAGTCAAAGGTTTGGATGAGAACGGTAATGATATATAGTTTTCGATTTGACGTACCATCCGTCACTGACATTAACCTTTAAACCAAAATGTATTCCTCCTCTTCTGAAGGGGCCCCAAAGCTACATTACAAAACCCTACTACCTTTTCCTTTTTGGCTTCTTTTTTTTCCTCATGTCATCACTCAAAATGGAATTACAAAATGTGGTTAACCAAAAACCTAAATCCAGATTTGGTCCACTCTTGAAATTAATTATTGTGTAGGCTTTTGCCGGGGTGACATGTGGCAGAGGTTTGTGGTGAATGAGTGAAAAAGTAGGGTTTATTTGGTGAGTGATTGGGCCTGCTGAATCCACTGAGACAGTGCTAGCTTTCTACCTCCTCTAACCACCGCCTAATGACCTACTTATTTTCGTTGAGAACGACCCAAGTATCCCGATGTAGCTAACTAGCTCAATTAAGTGCTCTTAAAACCCGTAAATCTGAAAAAGCATTCTTCGCGTTCTTTTTGGTAATGTCATAATCACCACTCGTTAAACTTAAACACATTCTTTACATGAATCAAATTCATTCACGTAAGTGGTCAGTGAAGTTTGTAAACCAATCTTATAGAAATCTCCTATAATAACTCACTTTTTTTGTTTTCCCCTTCAATTACTCTCAAGTGAATATACATATGCATTTTCGGAGATGCACATATTCCATTTCGTTATTTTGTCATCTTCACATAATGATAAATTTCTGGCTTCGTTACGAAAGGAAATATAAGCGTGTTTTTGTGTATAAAGTTAAGATAAAGGTGGGGTACGGTTGGTAGGGAGCCGGTCAGCTCGTTGCGCGCATGAGTTGAGAAAACTCTGGTATTCTAAAGTCTTAAGCTGCCATTGACGATTGCGACACTTCTCCCTAAGTAAGAGAAAAAAGATATCTTAAATTAATATATTTCTCTTCTTAACCAAGAAAAAGAAAAAGAAAAAAATTAGATTCTGGATTATAATTAATATTTAAGTGACTAAACTGAGTTTTGCCATTTGTTAATTAAACTTGTTCTACTTTGCAGTGGAAGCAGTTGGACTTGTGTTTCTTCACCCATCTCCACCTCCACCTCCACCCCACCCACCTTTCAAAATTATTTTTTTTTCTTCTTCTTTTTGCTGTTAAAGAGTCTTATGCGCGTGGACCTTAATAAAAGAAAGCATATGCCAAATTCTACTTTTATAGTTTGCTCATGCACCATCAAAACTCACGAGAAGTCCAACTGAAAACAATCAGTTCATATTGATAGCAAGTTAGCCATGTAAACAGAAGTAGTTTCGATTTCACCCCACACATATATATAAAATAAAAAGCAACAAAACAAAATGCAAAATGCTCTTTTTATGCACGGAACAAATGCTTTTATATCGTCAGTTTGATATACATTGTTGATTTATTCTTTGACAACTTAAAGCGTTAAAATTTTGGAGTTAGTGGGTGATCTAATTGGTCTTAGAGCTCACTTTACACGAGATCCTAAGTTTGATTATCTCATTTTTGCAGAGAATTACTTAAACTTTTGAAGTTAGTGGTTATCTAAACTACGAATGTTGCTTTGTGAATATCTGACTAAAACAAAAGCAAAAATAACTCATTTAATATGATGTCATGTACATGTAAGAAGCAATATGAAAACTCAATGTTGTTGTTTTGGGGTGGCTCAATCATAGAGTGAACAGTAATTAATTCCCTTACTCTCTCAGTCTTCAACATAAAGATTGATTTTGACTTCATTTTAGTGACGTGGTAACAAAATACGCACCTCACCAACAAACAGTCGGTACCCTTTTTAATGTTTTCACTTTCCGTACTATTAATTAGCTGGTTTCTAGAGAGTTTGCAATGCGGAATCCGAAATTTGACTTCCTCTTTCAGCTTCCCCATTAGCAAAAGTATGATGAAGAGTATATGAGAAAACAGCCTCAAATACAGCGTATTGATTCTAAGTACACTTTGTTGTGAGAGGAAAGTTATATAAGTAATCTCGGTTCATAGCGGAAACGAGTCAATTCTTATATGCAGTTGCATGGGTTGGCGATTAAACAGGCAATAGTGCCAGTGGTTATGTTGCCCTCTTGCGTGAAGAAAAACTTGCTTACATCCATCATTTCATGAAACGGACGTCTCAAATACATACGTCACTCATTGAATTATTAGTTGAATAAACCCATCAAAGCCGAATTTCAAGAAAACGAGTCAAAAATCGAGCGCTCGTCTCATCGGGTTAGACACCCGGTGACAGGTGTATTATTATTTCCAAGATGATGGAGTGTCCCCTTCGTCCTTCGAGTTGAATTGTCATGGTCTCCAGAAGAAGCTCACATGTGCTATACGGCATTGGTACTTTTGAGTTTGAGCATCCAATCGCCCTCTCCCTTTTCCATGCTCTCTTCATACACGTTTAATATTTAACTTTAATTTGGTTGCAGTCTTGCAGACTTAATTAATACATTCAACTTTCAACATGATCGATACTTGGTTTTGGGGGTCTTGACATCACCCGAAGAAGACCAAAAATTTATTTCATGATCTATCGACATTCGATCGTGTAGGGTTGCATGGGTATGTTGCCGTGCTCTTGAAGATAGGGCACCCATTATATGCTCTTTGCATTTATGCCATGTATATCGAGGACCAAGACCAAAACCAAAACATTCTCGAGACTTGACCAAAATTTTCCAATTTTCAGTGGAGACACAAGCCATAGTTGTAAACCACATTAATGTGAACTACTGGAAGACCCATTTATTTTGAATGCTGAACAAAAATCAGTCGTACAGTTTAAAAATTGAAAAAATAATGTATAAACCAAAAACCCCATCATTCTTTACACATTATATACTTCAATCCACTGCTAGAAATATCAAAATTTGTCAGTGAAACCACCAGGAGAGAATCCAGATCCAGATCCAAATCCACATGAGGGTGGTTCCCTTCTTTCCTCATGATTCCGTTAGTGTAGCATTATCGTTAAGGAGATGTTCTTTATCAAACAACCTAACATGTTACATTAACAGACTCTTCAATGTAAGTTTGAATATGTGATCTAAATTGACAGTCTGATAATATAACATGTTATGGAAGAAACCTTTACACTTTTAATAAGACAAAAGTGTTATTCAAATGGGTCCTAATTTGTTGGTATTCTAGAGCTTTCCAGATCTTAGGCTTCTAATTCCATATTCCAGGGAAGAATTTGGCTGTTTGCAGAGATTAAGGTCCACACGGTTTTAGCATAAGGTCTTTCGTTACAACCAGTTCCCACTCCGACCGCTAAGGGCAATTGACCTCCTACGGCTCCTTAATTTCTTTCTCTCTCTCTTTCAATGACTTCAAGCAGCCAAATTAGCGGACATCACACGGTAAT